TGCAGCATTCACACATCTTGCTAGGAACATACAGCGCCTCTAGCGCCACGGGATGACATGCAAGCTCCAAACAACGACCTGCCTGATGAAAAGCCGTCTGGATGGCCTCTAATCTCTTAGTCACCTCCGCCGAACTCGATCCTCGAAAATGAATGTGACCCCCAGGCTTCGTTTTATTTCATGAACAATCCCCTCAATGGGAAGCCCTTTTTTACGCAGTACCCTTCTACAAATACCAGAACCTGTTCCAACCAACGAAAGCAAGTTACTCTGCTTCGACGCGTTCTGCTTGTACCCTCGTTCTGATAAATACCGATCTAACATTTCATTGGAATTCATAGCTTTGCGACACAGCTCAACAACGCCTGCTTCAAATCCTCGAACTGCCTGGTATCTACCTCTCCGGGGGATAACCAGGACATCTCGATGGACCCAGGGCGTCTCAACAAAAAGCTTCTCCGTGTCATCGGCGTACCTCGTCAAAGATAGGTCGACATTAATATCAGGCAGAAAGGGATGAGCGGCGATGAGCGCCTCTGCCATTGGACCAAAATCTCGTTGCAGGCTCTGCCACTCTTCAATAGCAGGTCAGAAAGCGCGACAGAAGCCATGCGCCGCATACGGATCCCCCATCAACGCCCCCACCTTCGTTTTGACAGTGACGTTCCCCCCCCCCCCCCCTCAATCGGTAGTCGAATTGTGGTTTCTTCAAGTCGCTGCAGACCAACAACTCTGTCCGCTGGGCTCAACAGCTCCTCGTTCGCGGACTCCAGAGCTTGCGAAGAGGATGAGGCAAAAGCGTTGGCCATATCCTTGCCCTGCAGAAGACAAGGCAGGCCGCAGGCTCGCACTCTGAACATACTGCACTGCTGAACCAGCATCGCTCCCTCCTTCCTCCTTCCCCTGCAGAAACCGTGCTCACAATCTCCCAGCTTGGTCGAGCAGCCGCGCTTGATTGCAGCAGCGAAGAAACCTTTGCCAAGCACATCTAGTAAGTGCACGACTCTCTTACTCGTGGCTCCCTCAACGTGTTTTTTGTATGAAGAGCAACCCCCTGACTGCGATGCCACTCCAGCGACACCCTCCCAGACGAGCATATCTTACCAAAGCCACGACGCAAAGGAGCTTGAAATGCTTGCGGGACGAAACCGCTGTTCTCGGATGTCCACCCCAGACCCGCATTCTTGAAACACAGTCTGTCTCGAGGTCGGCATGGCATAAACCAAACTTCAGCGGTGTCGACTCAGACGGAACCACTCTCCTCTTTGGTGCACGCCTAAGGTACTCGACCACCCCCTTGATCATCTCCTCCGCCTCCTCCACCTACTCGTCCCACTCCCAATCGTACGTAACACAGTCCCTTAACCTTCCTCGCTTGTGCTCCTCCCAGTCGATCTTCTCCACCTCCATTCCTCCCTCACCTCCAGGGCGGCTCCAGACCTCCAACCGTTCCTGCTCGGTGAGGCTGGACCCCGCTAAATGTCAATACTTACGTTTTCGCGGACCCCAGGAGCTGCCAGCGGCCAACCTCGACTATAGGTTAACATCCACCAAATGCCGTTTCCTCCAAGCGTCTTGAAGGAGTTCTAAATAGAGCCTACGTTTTGCATCATTCTGAGCGCGTCTGGTCATACGTGCAAGTCGGGTAATTGCATGCAGCTGATTCGCAACCTCTTCCTCCTCCTCTCCCACTTCAGCCAGACCGAGTCTAATCTCGTTGCGGCGTGCTAGCAATTCTTCCCGTTGACGTCGCATCTCCAGCACGTCGTGGGAGTAACCTTCACCAGCACCGTAGATCGACAGGCCCCGCCGAACTATAAGCTCGTTGAGGGCAGAGAAAACTATCAGGGGTTCTCTCTCTCATAATATTCGTTAACTCCAACTCTCTCTCCTCGCACTCATCGTTGATGGCTCGTAGTAGTTCCCTCCTTCTCACTCCCTCCATTCACCCTTCCATCAGCAGATTCTGATCCCATCTCGCCGCCGCCGTAGGCGTGGGTTCTCGATTAGAAACAAGTTGCCAAGCAGCATGCACGGGCAGGTGATCTCGAATCGTCCGAGTATTGATTAATTGGATTTCCCTTCCTAGTCTGTGTAGAACCCCCGCCCTCTGTACTCTGGCAGCGATGCTCGATGGAGCGACGATCACATCCAAACGGTTGCACTCTCCCTTGGGACCGTACCACATGTTGGTGAGAGGCTTGTCTGCATCAACAAAGGCGAAATCGAATTCTTCTAAAAGTAGCCGAATATTATGCCCAGCACCGTCCCTCCACACTTCCCGAGTAGATACCTCTGAACGAATCACCGACAAGTTGGCGTACTCATAACTACCTGCGATCTCCTCTTTCCCCATCCCGTCATTTAAGTCCACGGCCAGTATCGGAATCGAGCGTCCCCTAATCTTCTGAAAAACACTCCGCAGCCAGGTAATCATCCTCTGGACCGTGGAGAAATAGTTTGCCCGAGCACGGCGCGCCGTGGGTCTCGGGGGGAAGTACGCACCGACCACCGTCGCATCAACCATGTTGGCCTTGAGTCGGAGTCCGAGTCCTCGACCCTGCAACTGACGTGGGGGAAGCAACGGCGGTCCACGAATAGACTTCTCAGATAAGATGCCACTAAGCAAGATAGACATCCCAGCCGCCTTGGTGACGAAGGGGGACGGGAGCCAACCCGCCTGCACCAGCGTGCTCTTGCCGTTCTTGCGCTTGGTGGTCTCGCCACCTGGGGCCGACCGTTGGTGTGTGCCAACCAGTACTGTAACATCAAACGAACGAAACGAGCATTCCAGATCTTCCAATCGATCAGTAGAAGACGCACTGAGCGGGTTATAAGCCAGGACTCGCAACCAACGAAGGCAGGCAGCAGCCCCAACTCCTCTATGCGCCATGGAAGCTGTGAACAGCCTCGGACATGAGATGTGTCATGTGCGTGCAATTCATTATGCTGCCCCTTCCTCCCCTTGTCTCATCACGGCAGCTATGATGTTGATGATGTTGATGAGGAGGAGGAGGAGGATGGTGATTGTGATGATGATGGCGAGGTTGATGGTGATGTTGATGATGATGAGGATGATGATCATGACGATGCTGATGGTGTTGGTGATTATGGTGGTGATTATGATGATGATGTTGTTGAGGATGATGATGACGATGCTGCTGATGGTGATGATGCTGATGAACACCATGATGATGCTGATGATGTTGATGCTGATGCTGATGGGATGCTGCTGCTGATGATGATGCTGATGCTGATGATAATGATGCGGATGTGGACGCGGATGCGGATGAGTATGATGATGAGGATGCGGATGCTGTTGATGTTGATGTTGATGCTGATGCTGCTGACGATGGTGGTGATGATGATGATGATGATGATGATGATGCTGATGCTGATGCTGATGCTGATGCTGATGATGATGATGATGATGATGACGATGATGATGATGATGATGATGATGTTGTTGATGATGATGATGATGATGATGATGATGATGATGATGACGATGACGAGGAGGATGAGGGGGATAATGAGGATGATGAGGATGATGAGGATGCGGATGAGGACGAGGATGAGGATGACGATGAGGATGATGGGGGAGGAGGAGGGATGCAGAAGGAGGAGCAGGAGGAGGAGGAGCAGGAGGAGGAGGAGGAGGAGGAGAGGAGGAGGAGGAGGAGGAGACGGAGGAGGAGGAGACGGAGGAGGAGGAGGAGGAGGAGGAGGAGGAGGAGGAGGAGGAGGAGGAGGAGGAGCAGGAGTGGGGGGTGGGAGAGAATGAGGAAGATGGGGGAGTGAAAGAGGTGGAGGTGGGTCTGGAGGAGCTCGATCGCAGAACTCTGCAGCCTGCGGCCCGAGAGCTGGAGGAGGGAGTGGAGGGCGGGGAGGAGGACGTGGCATTCCCCCTTGGGGGGAGGGGGGCTCGGAGCGCCGCCACCGGCGGAAGCCCCTGGTAGGCCCGGGGGGGCGGCGGGGCGCGCGGCGGGGAGGGGCGCGGGGCATCGCGGCTCCCGTCGGTCCTCCCGCGGTAGGCGCGCTGCTGTGGGAGCCGGGCCGTTATCCTGCGATCGGAGCGTCCCGGCTGCAAATTCCGAGCCGTGCAACGACTCGGGCAATTCGATGTCAGCCACGCGCAGACGGGGGCTTGTCAGAATCGGAGAAGAAACAAATCCTCCTCCTCCTCCTCCTCCTCCTCCTCCTCCTCCTCCTCCTCCTCCTCCTCCTCCTCCTCCTCCTCCTCCCACCTCCTCCTCCTCCTCCTCCTCCTCCTCCTCCTCCTCCTCCTCCTCCCCCTCCTCTGCGCGTGGCCGATCGTGTGTACGCAGCTGTTTTTTTGTTTTTCGCGAGGCCGTGCGCGCCACTCTTCGGGCAGGGCGGGGGGCGGGGGGAGGGCGTGTCAGAATCAGAGAAGAAAAAACGTCATAGGCAGGAGCTTTTGGCGCTGCGCGCGGGTTTCTTGGATCCGCGCTGGGGCCCCTGGCGGCGCCTCCGGCGCCTGACCTGGCGTGCTCCGCGCGCCAGGGAGGGTGGTCCAGCGCAGATGCAAGAAATCCGCGCGGACCTCCAACAGGTTGTGTTTATGCCGTTTTGTCTTCCTCTAGGGGGGGAGGGCTTCTTGGAAGCACTCCTGCTTCTCAGAAGGCGTGGGCCTCATCTGTAGATGTGAGGCCGCCGCCTTCCGAGAAGCAGCCGCCTTCTAAGGAGCCTTCCCCCTCCCCCTAGTCCTTGTGCTCGCCACCAGCGATGGGCGGCGGGGGTCCAGGGCAGGGTAAAGGACGTCGTCGAGCCCGTGCCGAAATCCGAACCCCATCCCCGCCTCCCATCGATTCGGAACAGTCGATGATTGGTGCGGGCAGGGTCTGGATGTCGCCACCTAGCGCCTCTGTCTTCCTTCGAGGAGGAGGCGATGGCATAGGCATACAATTTCGGAGAGCCGCGCGGAGTTCTTGGACCTGCGGTGGAGTCCTGAGGCACCGACGAGGCAGGCTGCGGTCGGCATGCAGCCAGGGCGGGCGAGCATGCTACTTGCCAGGGCTTGTGGACGGGGGAAGCAATGATTGGAGTTTTCTCGGGCGTGCGGTGCACGTGAACTTGCCACGCCCCGTCCAGCTTCTGCCCATGCTCCTCCTCCTCTGGCTCTTCCTCTGTCTCTCTGTTTCTCTCGCTCTCTCTCTCTCTCTCTCCACCTTTTTGACATTGCACAGACATGGATCGGACATCGTTGCGGTATCCGTGACGTGCAACACATAATCCCCAACTTAGGCGAATAAGCAAACACATCAAGCAGGTGGCGGGCGCTGCGGGCAAAGACAGGCAAACAAAGACAGGCAGCAGAAAGAGGCCAAACACGGCGCAGAGTAAGCACCCGCCGCCTGCACTGGAGGAGTTACTTTGAGGAGTACAAGATGACGGTGGTATAGGTTATGACCGAGTTCTTTTCTCCCGACCTCCGCCTGCTCCTCCTCGCCATCTGGCTTGGCCTGCGCCTGCTGCCCCCCCCCCCCAGGCCTCCATTCACGATTTCAAGGGCTTCATGGAGCTGTCGGCAGGAGCCGCGCAGCCTCTTGTACCTTCCTACGGCAGGTCAGCCTCGTGCCGACCGGCGGCGACCCCACCGCGTGCGTTGAAGGCCGAACGCCGCCCAGGGCCCAGCATCGGCCCGTCGTTGAAAGATTTGGCGTTCACGGAACGTCCGATCGTTCAAGTTTGAACGATCCCCGCGGTGTCAGGAACCAATGCCGGGGTCGACACGACGCGAACTTGCCGTACGTCCATTGCCTTCGTAACCTCACGCTCCCCGTGCTCCTCTGCCGCCCCCCTCTTCCCCTCCGTCCCCCCTGCCCTTCCCCTCCCTGCTCGCTGTCACCTCGCCGTAGCCTCCTCCTCCTCCTTCTCCTCCACCTCTTCCCCCTCCTCCTCCACCCCCACCTCCACCTCCTCCTCCACCTCCTCCTCCTCCTCCTCCTCCTCCTCCTCCTCCTCCTCCTCCTCCTCCCCTCGATTTGCGAGTGCACCCGCTGTCCAACGGGACCCAACTCTCCCCTTATGCTCCGGCCCACACGTCGTCCTCCTCTTCTCCTCGGGCGGGGCTCGGACGAAGATAAGTCCGTTCTGGAGCGTTCCGGAACGGTCGGAGAAGGCCGCTGCGCCCGAGATATCCGTCAGAGCCGCCGGATCTCAGAGAGGCTCAGGTTATCCTCACCCGAGTTTTTCCTCGTCCCGTCGTGGCCTCGTCTTAGCCTCCTCCCGCGCCCCTCTTGACCCCCCACCACCGCCTCCCGCGGTCCCTCTCCCCTGTCTCTCCCTGTCCCAGTCCATGCCCCACTCCCTCCCCCCTCCTCCAGTCGACATCGGCAGTGCGATGCCGGGCCCCGCCCGAGCGCAGAGGAGGTCGCAGGGGCAGAGGGCACGGCTGCCTGCGCGCCCGCCCCGAGTCAAATCGTCGAGGTTTTGGCCCGACGCCGCGTCGGCCTGAGTCGGGCGTGTCCTTCTGCAGGAGGAATCTCAGAGAATAGGTGATTTTGGACTATTTTCGACTGTTTCTCAGTTCTCTTCCAAAATCGGCCTGTAGGTGGACATGCCCGGCCTCGACGTAGGCACAGCATGGCGTCCCCCCCACCGTCCACGTGCGTCTTCCCCACTCACTTCGTCACACCCCTCACACGCTTCGTGGCCCCATAGGGAGCTCCACTGGAGATGATGTTCACGACTGCGTTTCTCACAATTGCATATGGTTGGGTCCTGCGCCAGGCTAAACTCAAGAAGCAATTAAGAACCCCACCCCTCTCCGGCGAAAGTATAACGCACCCGGCACCCCAGAAGCGTTACCCTGGCACTTCGCACCTTTATGTGAACGCAGACGAGTCTGCTCGCCGAAACAAGCAAACCGCCTGAGACATTCTCGCAATCTGGTCTCCTTGTGGTTCTGAAGCAAGCGCATCGCCTGAGACATCCTAAGAAATCTACTTTTATGTTTATTACTATTGATATTGGTATTGGTATGAGTATCCTTATTATTATTCTTATTCTTATTACTATTACTCGTAGTTCACTATCATTCTTATTTTTATTCCAATTCCACTTGGGATACCACCCGAGCCGGGGCGCGGAAATTATTTATTTTCGTTCCATTTGCGCGGTGTTGATCATATCGTTCGGCGAAAGCCGCCCCCCATAATTATTTAATTACGGTGCTGTGCTAATGATAACCCCGGGGGGTCCCTAATGGCTTCTTGCGGTTACTTGTCAGTTCTCTTCCAGAATCCGCCTGTAGGAGGACGCGCGTGCCCGGCGCCACGCAGGCACGGCACACGGCGAGACGCAGGCGCGCAGCACGGCGCACCCAGAGCAGCCCGACGGCACCGCGTGAAAACCAGGCCGCCTGCCACGAGCGAGGGCAATGACTCGAAGAAGAAAAGACACCATAAACGCAAATGTTTGGCGCTCTGCGCGGATTTCTTGGATCCGCGCTGGACCCCCCTGGCGGCGCCTCTGGCG